AAGCCCGTAGCCAGCGGTAAAGAATGCAAGGAAGAAGATTCCGGTTTGGGAATGCCTTGCCTTCCAGTTCAGTTCAAATTCCATCACCTATTTTTATCCACCATCACATCACACTTCTGTACAAATACTAATTACTCAGCAAGGTTTACCTGAAAGTGTATCTTTAAGAGCCAAAATTAAAAAAAAAAAAAAAAAAAAAACTACCTAAAATCCTAAGTTATAAAACGGGTTAAGGTACAGTGACTTTGAAGTTGAAGTAGAAAGGCTAAAGCATTGTGATCTGTCACTCCCAGAAGTGCGTCATAAAATGCCCCCTTCACCATCACCTCTATCTACTCTAGTGCAAGAGCTCAGCTGAACACAAGTCCCTACACACACTCACAAAGGCTGCTGTGTCATATACAGAGCCCACTGCTTTTGTACTTACACTTGAAATAATTATGCTCTTTCCTCTCTCAAAACATTTCCCTTTCCTTCAAAATAACTACAATCATTTTTTTTTTTCCCAACCTAACTTCTTTTAAGCAATTGTGGATTCAGTTTAAACAATATGACAGTGCTACCACAAAACAGGTGAACTGGGACAGAGTGAAAAAGACAATAGAAATGGATGAGTGGGAAGCTTACATTAACAAAACAACAAGCTGAAAAACACAAGATAACTACCATTTTTATGCCGAGATCCTGGCAGGACAACTTTGATAAACAGTCAGGACTTGTCTACAACAACAGCTAATGACTGATTACTCAAGCTAGTGCTAGTCCTCCAGATTATGATGCTATTTATAAAATGTTCTGTTATTAATATGCCTATACAGTCTTTGTAAAAATCAGTTCATGTTGATAAATTTCTTGAGGAAGTGCCTTAGCTATGGATTACATAGCTCCACTTACTTAACTTACAAAATCTCAAAACGAAGATCAAACTTGGGATCTCTAAGAAAAGCTCCTCATATAATAATCCTCATGGCCTGCTACCAGTATACATTCAAATTCAGTGTGCAGAAAGATAGACAGCATTTTAAAATCACTAAGGTCTTGAAGGTAATTTGTAGGATATAAGCAATAATAAAATTTAGAATAAAAGTACTATACCACAAAAGTTTTGTTTATAAAGGTAAGAAAACTAAATTAAAACAGAAGCTATTCAGAGACATATCTCAAAACAAACGCATCAGACTTTATGACAAACATTTACTGGAAGATTTCTTAAAACATGAAATGGAAAGCTGGATGTTAAATAAACACACTAGTTTGTATTTTTATTGCAGATAATTCTGAAAGGAAGACAGTATCTGTTTAATTAGACTGATGTTTAAAGTCAGGTGCTCTTGGATACATAATTCATTGTAATCAAAACCAAATATTTTTATGATTTCAAAATACGACTACAAATCTTTTAAATTTGAAAATGAATGGATTGAGAATTTAAATCAAGAGATGATTAACAACTAAATTGTTTCAATAATCTCTGGAATATGCTTACATGGCATAATTGAAAAAAAAGCAGAAGATCACTCATATTCATAATGGAAATACTAAACTCCTAGCCAGGACCCTGGGAAGCACACACTGTGCCGCCTACCTGGTCTATTCTGGATGTTCCGGCTGCAGTGCACCAACTATCTTGGAGTGAATCTGAGCCCCAAGCTGGCAACTGCAAACTAGATCTCACCTTCAATAGCATAGAAGTTTGCATCAGAAATGAGCAGTTCTCTTCCCCATCCCACCCAAGAAAAAAACAAAAACAAACCAAAGAAACGAAAAACAATCCAAGTTCTTTCTATCTTAAATTTTTGTTCCGTCCTCTAAAGGTTTTGAGGAAAATTAAACCTCATTTGCAAGAGTCACAAAATATTAAACAGGCCAGGAAAAATGATCTCCATTAATATTAGGTCATATTTAGTGGGGAAAATTACATACATATATATTTATAGTCACTGAACCAGTGGAGGCAATTTGAATTAGATTCAAAGAGTCTTAATGTTATTGTGGCACAATCACAGCTGTATTAAGAACATTCTAATACGTAAACATTCTAATACGTAAACAGCTGATCACAGAAAAATCTATGTACAACTACAGTTACAAAATGTTTCAGCTTATATTATCAAAAAGACAAATTTTGGTTTTCTATTAAGAAATAACTAACTCAAGCATTTTCAAGGAACTGTCACTTAAAGGCTTCAATCCGTATGGAAGAAACCTTTTCTTAAATTTGGAAGCTTATTTCCATTCATGTGTGTTTACAGAGAAATTCTTACATCTCTGTTTTCTCTGTGTGTTTTACCCTTTAATAATTAAATGATATGCTTAAATTTTGTTTAGCTCTAATTCTGTTAATCTTCCTATACTGCCACTGCTGCCTCCACCACCCCACTTCCTATTTTGAAAGGTTAGCATTAGAAGTAAGGACATTTACATACCATTCTTACCTGTAAGGGTAAAAGTGTGTTACTATTGTTGTCTGTCCTGAACACATTATCTTCAATCCAAGACTTTGGAGTCAGTGACGGAGTAGAGCGGGTAAATTTCGGTGGTGCTATAACATTACCAGAGAACGGTTTCTTCAGTGGAGATATCTGATTCATAGTCCCTGGAATGCCCATGTTTCCACTTCTACGGTGATCTCTGCCATGCATCGCTCCCCAGGACATGCTCGCAGTGCCCCAACCGCTGCTCTGATGGTTGCTCCAAGGAGATTGTTTCAGAAGAGGCTGAGGAAAACACACCTATTTAAATTAAAGGCCTTGGAGAGCTTATAATTCAAATTCAAATTTTAGAACTCAGCTAAGAATTTAATGTGATCATAAAAAAATGAAACATAAAAGCTAACAATATTTCTTAAGGGGCTTAGGAAAGAAGTCTTGGGATCTTCCTATTTGATATCCTATTTACTTAGGGAAGTTTCTATCCTATCTACTAAAAACAGTGATGTCTCCTGACGGTTACTAAAATACTCCTAAAGCTGAAGTTAACTTTGAAGGACCTGCAAGCAACCTATCTTCTACTAGCTAAATTAGTATTGGTTAAATGGTCTTAATTGTCTCAGCTATGGGAGCCAAATTTTTAGATCTTAGTCTTCCCAAACAGATTGGGCTACTCTGAAAAATCCAACAGTGGTAACACTCAGCATGAAGTGAAGATGCCTTTAAGGACAGATCAGAGCAGGAAAAAATTCATTTTTCTGAATTGTTAATTCAACTTTTAAGGTATTTTATTCCTGTTTTTCTTTCAGTATTTTTTTTTTTCATTTCACTTAATTATCCTTGAACTGTTAAAGCAATTATCCAGTGCCACCCATAGGTGGATCCACTGAGATATACAATACACAATCGCCAGCGCTGCTTATTAACAATCTGAATGCAAGTCTCTGTTAAATTCATTGACACTCAAAAGCAAAATCATATTCCAATCTAGAACCTATGGCAAGGAAAGTCAAATCGTCAAAAAAAAAAAAAAGGAAATTTCACAAGATATAAGACCTTTTTTTAAAAAGGGAACTGTGAATTGCTAGTATTTCTATCAATAAACTAAAACTAGTAAATTTCTCCTAAGATTTAGACAGTGGAAATACAGACCATGTCCTTTCTAAAACTCAATAAATATGGTAATCCTAAGATTAAACAGTTTTCTTTGAAGAAAAATGTAAAAACTTGACATCCAGTACCTATGGATGCTACTACAGGATTTTAAGTGTTAACACAATCATGAACATATATAGCCTCCTTCTCCTTCCACATAGTTGAAAAGCACAGCTAAGGAGTCACGGTAGAATTATCTCACGCAGTAGGGCCTTATTTTGCCTACTAAATGACTCACAGTTCAAAGTTCTTTTCCAGTGACCTAAAATTCCATATGAAAGCTGTGTGACCTCTTACACTCAGAGGTAAGACCCATTTCTTTTTGTTTATTGGCGCATATTGCAGTTAAATATGAATCACGACATACATCCTGATAACGTTCTACTTTGACGTTGGGAATTCAAAATTACCTATAAATTTCTGCGGCAAACTACCAGTTAAAAAATAAAGAGCCTGACACACAAAAGACAGTTGTTCAAGATCATATAAACCATGGGAAATGGAGTATTACTTCAGATGTCGGTATTTTCCTTCCTTATAGGTCACACTCCTCATTCTTGGGGAGAAAACATCGATTCAACAAAACTGTTAACTTCTACTTGGGTTAATTTCGATAAACTGTTAGCTGATACTTTGGTTAATTTAAACAGCATTCACTTTTGAAAACTTCGGTCAACAGAAAAGTTTGAGAAGTAAGAACCGGTTAAAGTCAAATTAGGGTTCCATGACAATTCTTAATCTCGACATTGGACTTCGAATGATCACCACAATAAATGATAACTCCATTAAATAGCAATAAAACTCTCAACATCAACAAACTTAGCGGCCACCCAAAATCTGCACTGGGCGGGCATTAGGGGAGTAGTAACAGAAAAGATCCTGAGTCAGAAGTCAGAAAGGGCACAGACTAGCAAAGAACCTGCCTGGGTGTCATTTCATAATGCCACATACCCCATGATCCCGGCACACACCCCATGTGGAGACATCTAGGAGGAAACACATTAATCCTAGATTCAGGGGTGCCTTGGGCTTCCAATCCCTAAGATGAGACCAAACACTAAAAACAGCAGACACCGAGAGCACCCTAGCCCCGCGGCCGGCAGCCGCGCGCCGCCTGACAGTTCCTCCCTGCCGGTGACAGCCCTCGGGTGCGGCTGCAGGTGCCGCCTGGGCTTCCCCTGGTGCTGCACGCAACAAACTCGAGAAGGGAACAGCCTCCGCTCCGGTCCCCTCGGGGGGCACGCCGGGGCAGGAGCAGCCCCAGCCCATCTCTCTCCGCCCGGCCGCCCGCCCGAGCGCACTGCCCCGGCCCCGGGTCCGCCGCCATGCCCCGGCGCAGGGCGCTCGAGGGGGCGGCGGGCTCCTGTCCCCACGGCCGCCCGCCCTACCTGGTGGTGGTTGTACGAGTTCCTCTGCTGCAGGAAGGCGGCTGCGGCCGCCTGATGCTGCTGCTGCAGCTGCGGGCTGACGGGCGACCTCCGGCTCTGCGGCTGCTGCGGCGCCGCCGGCGGCGGCTGCTGTTGAGGTAAATTCATGGCGGGCGGCGCGGGCACCGCGGGCGCCGAGAACGGGCCGCCGAAGCCGCCACCGCCGCCGCCGCCGCCGCCGGCCGGCACGCTGAGCCCCGCGCAGCCGTGCGGCGACACCGGCGAGAAACTCGGGAAGAAGGCCGGGTTAATGGACGACGGCAGCCCGGGGTAGAAGCCGTTCTCCGAGTCCGGGCTGGGCGGCGGCATGGCGCTCAGAGAGCCGCCCGCGCCGCCGCCGCCACCGCCGCCCGGGGTGGCGGCCGACGAGCCCGGGGGCTGTGGCTGCGGCGGCTGCTGGGGCGGCTGCGGCGGCTGCTGGGGTGGCTGCTGCTGGGACGCCGGCGGCGGCTGGGGCGGCGGCGGCGAGGCGGTCTGCACCGACCAGGGGGTGCCGAAACCGGGCAGCGGTGGCGGAGACGCGGAGCCGCCTCCCCCTCCGCCTCCGGGGGGTCCCCCGCCCCCGCCGCCGCCCGGGTGCGGCAGGTCCGGGCTCTGCAGGCTGCTGAAGGCGCTGGTGCCGAGCGTCGCGCCGGGCAGGAGGGTGCTGGGGCTGTTGAGCAGAGGGTGGTTGGGCGACTCCATGGAGCCCGGCGCGGGGTTCACCGGCGGCGTCGAGGGGGGCAAGCCCGCATTGGGGGGCTCGGCGGCGCTGCCCTCGCCCGCGGCCGGGGTCTGGCGAGGGCTTCCCGCGCCTCCGTGGCGGCGCCGCGGGGCTGCGGGCGGCGAGGGTGGGAGCTGCGGGAGCGGGGGCAGGTCGGCCGGGCGCTGCCGCGGGGCGAAGTCCTGCGGCGGGAGGTGCTGCGTGTGCGGGAGGCTGAACGGCTGCGGGCGCTGGGCGAGCGGCGCCGACTGCAGGAGCGGCCCGGGCGGTGGTGGCGGCGGCGGCGGCGGCGAGCTGAAGCGACCGGGGCAGTGGAGCGGCGGCGGCGGCGGCGGCGGTGGCGGCGGCGGCGGCTTGGCGTCCGGAGGGTGGGGACGATGTGGCGGGCTCAACTCTTTCCTCTTCTGGCTGCTCAGCTGCTGCTGCTGCCGCTTACTGAAGTCCTGCGGGGAGGAGGTGCGGCAGCAGCAGCAGGAGGAGGCGGAGGAGGAGGAGGGGTGGTGCAGACTCGGTTTGAAGTCCTGGGAGGGGAGGAGGTGGGTCACACCCGCGTTCGTGCCGCCGCCGGGGTGGTGGCTGGGGAGCTGCTCCGCGGCCGCCGCCCCCGAGAGCCGCCTCGCCGGCTGCTGTGTCAGCCCGAGCAGCAGTTCATCCTGCACGGCCTGCTGATGCGCCACGAGCGGGGAGGAAGAGGAAGCTGCGGCCGAGCTGGCCGCGCCGCCGCCCGAGGGGATGGCGAAGGGGGAGGCGGCCTCCGAGAAGCCGGTGACAGGCAACGGCGGCGGCGACAGCGGGCCGAAGGGCGTGGCGGGCGGCCCGGCGGCGAAGGGCCGGTAGGAGCCGCCGCCGGGCGAGGACCGGGGGCTGCCGCTGCGCAGCAGGGCAGTGTGCAGCACCCCGAACCCGAAGTCCCGCATTGATCGGGCCGGCGGCCGCGGCAGGAGACGCACCCCGTCCCCTGCCCCGCCTAGGAAACCCCGGGAGCCCTGGCGGCGCGGCCGTGGTGGAAGGAGGGGGGTTCAGTGGGACAGGGACACTGTGACTGAGCCGGGGCACCGACTTGGACCCCGCCGCCCCTCACGGAGGCCACCGCCGCCTCCCGGAACCGGCTCCGGCACCGCCGCTGCCTCGGCCGCCGCCGCCCTCGCCGCTTAAGAACCCCGGAACGTGCGTCAGCCGCCACCTCACAATCGCCCCGCCCTCCCTCTCCCCGGCACGCGCGAGCGCGCCGCCGCCGGCCCCGCCCCGCCCCGCCCCTCATTAGCATGCGTTGTCCAGGCGGCGAGCTGGCTGGCGGGCGCGCGCGCGCGCGCGCCCGGGCGCGTCCCTCCAGTCCCGGACCTCGCCAAGGGCGGAGTGGAGAAAAGGCCGGTTGAAGGTGGGACCGGCGGCTCCCCGGGGCTCGAGCGCCGAGCGCGCGCGCGCGCGCGCACCACGGCGAGCACGCGCGGGCGTTGCGGACGGTTCCTCGGCAACCGCCCCTCCTGCCCGGGTCGCACGCGCCCCCTCCTCAGGTCCCGCCCTTTCCCAGCCCCTGGGGTCACGTGAGGGGCCGCTGTCCCCGGACCTGCTCTTAGGACTAAGGCTCTTCTTAGCTGCAGGAATCTAGGAAGATCCTGCGCTCGGTATTGCGGTGCGGCCCGCGCGAGCTGTCAATGACCCCTGCTGCCGCGGGAAGGCTTTTTTTTTTTTTTTTTTTTCAGGGTAAAACGCGAAGCACCAGCGCCCTGTCTAGCAAACGTGTTCACTTCAGCAAGGGAAACTAAGTCTGGGGCTGCCCCGGCTCTGCGCCGTTGTCGCACACGCCTGCACTGAATAGGTTTCCAGGCCAGCTCCCAGCTCGGCTGCAGCACGCCTTGGGTGCGCTGCTGTCACGGTGACCCGGGTGTGCCGGACTCCTCCTCTACAAGTTCATTCTGGCGTCCCTCCCTCCTTTCCCCGGGAGACTCTAATCAGAACATTTCCGAAGCTTTATTAATTTCCAAGGGAAAAAGATTTCTCACATGGAGGTGGGGGGGGGTGTGGGGGAAGGAGGTTGTGACTCAGCAGCGGACTTGTTGAGGCTTGCAAAATGGAAGAGGAAGGAGCTTTCCATGTAGAGCTCCGAGGAGCGCTGGAAGGACTTAATCCTGTGTAATTCCTTCCACGGGTACATTTTACATAGAGAAAAGCACACTTAACTGTAGTTCAATAATAACGGATCCACACAACGTAATAAAATAAGAAATGTATGTTCTTATTTCTCAATTTTGAGTTTTCTTGATGCTTAGAAAAGTGAAACTAGTGAATGAGTTCCAGAAATACCGACTAATCTCAGTATACAGAAGGTTCATTCAGTGTGAACTAATGTTAAAATTTACCATCCTCTTAGGGATGAAATGAAACTACGTCTTTCTGAGTCCTCATTCTCTGACAGTTGAGTTTGCCTCCTCATCTTGTCCCAAATGTATGTAAGTCAAATAAGCACTTGATAACAGCATTGTGAAACCAAAGTTCTGTATTTATGTTTATGTGTGATATACTAATAAACAACTTTCCCCAAAACATATTTTATAGAATTCATAAATGCTTCAGAAATTAGCCTGGTAAACAAAGTTGTTTGAAGTTAATCTCAAGGTCCTATTTAACAACCAAGGTAAATATGAATCTGGAGAAGTGCTTCCTTTAAATTAGAACATGAAAAAAAAACCCAGCATACATTAGAATTAGAAGTATATCAATACATGCCAGTCAGGCTCCTGCCTGTAATCCCAGCATTTAGGAGGATGGAGGGGAGGATTGCTGAGGGTCAAGGTAAGTTCCAGGCCAGTCTGTTGAAACGTTCTTTAGCTCAGTCCTCTAAGAGCAGAGAGAGAGAGAGCACTTACTAATTCTGTGTGGTGCCCTTCTGCACCAGGGTTGGAACACAAGACTTCTTAGTGCTAAGTGCAGGGGTTTGTTTTAAAGGACTGAAGGCCTTTGAATGGGCAAGAGCCATCACGTTTGTTACTATTCATGAGGTCAAATTTTATTTTCAGTAAATCAAACTCTAAATCCTATAGGCCATGTCCACCACTCACTGATTTAACACCCCGGAGAGTATTGTAAAGGCCCCATTTTTCACAGAAGGGAAAGTTACTTTCTGACACCTAAAGCTCTCAAGCTGCTGAGCTTCTCATGTGTGAAAATGTTCAGTAGAAAGGTTTCCTGTAATGTGTAGGTGGGTGATGGAGGTGGTAGGCAAGGGCTTGTGGTCTTACAACAAGTTCCGAACTCAGACTGCATGAGTCTATAATATGATCTAAAAAGGTTTTCTGGAGTGTGTGTTGGGCAGGGGTGTAGATAATGGCCTGTGGTCTTCCAGCAGATTCCAACCGCCAGATAGTCTGTGTCCATATTATGATCTTGTTTTCAACTGAAAATATGTTTACTTTACAACCATTCATTAAGGAGGTAGATTCAGACTAGACTAAGATTAGGTATTATAAGGGACCATCATCTTATGGATGCATATGACTCCTCATTCTCTGTTAGATAAGTATGTTTTTTACTTCCTGGTGTCTCAAATGATTGTTAATCAAAATAAGCAGTTCATTCATTTACTCCCACCATCCTGGGCGAGCGCTAAAATGTATATTTTTGCTTCCACTTTATATGCACTCAAACCCACTTATGTTCATGGAGCTAAAAGATTTTATTAAGCAACTCTTAATCTTGGTAGGTGTGACTCACTCCCCTTTTAGCTTAAATTTATCTAAATGAGCTCAAATCACAAACTTAAGATCCATAAATATATCTTGAGACAGAATCTAAAAGCCACAGTCCCGAAGTACCTCATCAGACTTTCTGCTCTATATTAAAACCTCTCATCACATCTGCTCACCTAGTCTTCTTAGTCTTACCTCCAGCTGCTAGCCTGACTGCTTAGTACACTGAGAAATGAAGGCAGTAACCCAAGGAAGTCCAGTCACTCACCTCTGTCCCTGGACACCTGGCTCTCCCTCTTGCCACAATGCCTGTTTACTTGCCTAGGGGCTGGCGGACCTCCCATTGCCCATCCACCCCCTGGGGTCACCTATTCAGGCCCCAGTTCCAATGGTTCTCCCTTACTTTTATCAACATTTCTCTCCTCTCTTGGAAACACTCCCAGGTGCACAAAAGTATACTAACCACCACCTCCCATCTAAAAACAAAACCCAAACCCCTTGACTTTTGGTTCTTTCTCTTGAGCTACCCTTTTACTGACCAGAACAAGTACCTAGTTGAATATCTAAGTGCATGTCTCAAAGACATCTCAAATTGTTGTTTCATTTGCTCAGGTCAAAGCTTTGAAGTCAGCCTTGACATGCATATTTGTAACATGTCCAAGCCATCAGAACATATTGCTTCTCCTACTTTTAAGTTTTAGCCAGAGTC